CGACAACAAAAGGCAAAAATGGCTTGGCACGGAACTTCTTGATTTCGGCGTAACTATCTTTTCATTTCCTACATTAATATCAAATGGCCTGAACGACAACAAAAGGCAAAAATGCCTTGGCACGGAACGTGTTAAATTAATTTCTTAATATTAGCTTTGAATCGCTAACTATCAAAAACTACTATTCTCGTAAAAAGTTTCGCGATAACTGGACCATTTGTTCGGAGGAATTTTACTTTGAAAAATACTTCAGTTTGATCGGCTGATTAATATCGACGAAAAATCGATTGATTTAACCGACTGATTTATAATTATATTTCAATATTAGTAGATGCAGTTAGTGAGGTTATGTTGGTAACATAACCTCAATAACTGGAGGAGGCGACCTCCATTTTTTTTTTTTGAAACGTAATATATGTGATATATTTCTTTGTAATTAAAAGCACACGCTTTGATTTCAACTTTTCTAACTGAGCATTTCAATTTAAAAAGCTAGACGATTCGATCTTTTTTTATTGAGAACACGAGGATAAATAATTTTCACTTTGACACGATTTTATTCATTCGTTCGAAATAGATAAGACAGAAGATTGGTCATTCTTTTCGAAAAAAACTTGACCGAACCCTAATATTTCAGCAATCAGGTTGATCTATGTTTTGAACTATGATTAGCGCGTTACGCCTCGGCGAAGATCGACGATAAATTGGCGAATACTCTTGTCTATCTCGGCCACCATGTTTGCAAGAACTTCAAACTCCAGCCTCCGAGGCTCGGGGAATAGGAACTGTAACACGCGCGCGAATAGTATGCAAATAGACGACAAACAGACGACCGTATCTCGCTGCCGAAACATTAGCGAAGGCACGCTGCAAGAACAACTTTCGAGACGCTGTAGATAAAGATCGTCCCCGTTGGAAAATTCGCTTAACGATCCTTTCATTACCGCGATGATTGCCGATTAACGAGGAATTTAAAACGGGCGGAAACTTCCTTTAACTTCCTCTTCGAAGACCATTAAGAGATTACAGGTGAAATCCCTTTGGCCAGGCAATGATTTCCCTGCACTATCGATCCAACGTTGAATAATTAATTCAACAGATATCGAACAACGTTTTAC